CTATTGGTAATCCCCCTTGTGTATGATAGAAGGCTCCTGAACAGTCTTGGGCCTTTAAGTGTAATCATGGCACCCCTGCATCTTTTTTGAGTTTTTAGCTTTGTAGAGAGGGATTTTTGTGTGTAGATTTGGGATAGATCCCTCTGATTTTCCAGTTAAAAATTATGAAGCATCTGTCTTGCTGCATCCCAAGGAGTACTCCATGGAATCTTCCCAGTAATTGAGGTGCCTGGCAGAACTTATACAATGCAGTTACAATTCTCCATACATTGTTTAGATTTGCAATTTTGTCTGCCATAAAAGGAGGTTGTTAGTGTACAGCAATATTCCATCCTAGAGAGAACAAGTGACTTAGAGGGTCTTCATTGGCTTAGCGTTCCGTCGTGTAATTTTCCTTGGGGCTGTGGCTGGTTCGAGGTTCTGACCAGAGCTTTGGTAAGAAGGGAGGGGGGGGGAAGAAGGATGGGTAAGGATGGAAGTTGAGGAAGGTTGGGGAGGGAGGAGGGGTAGGTGGGGTTATAAAAGGGTAGTGGCCTATCCACTTTGGTGTAATTTGAATATGCGTGTGTGCATACTGAGTAATTTATAAAGAGGTTGGTTTTATGAGTAGGGTATACCTCCTGCCCATGAGTAGGGTATACCTCCTGCCCATGAGTAGGGTATACCTCCTGCCCATCAATTTCACAATGCTGTATTGTGTTGTGCTGTGGCTGAGTGTTGTGATCCTTGAGGATGAAATCTTCTTGACATTATCATGCCTAGTACTTCACATCAGTTTTTCGCTCTGTTGTGTGGTATGTTTTATGTCATTCCAGTTTTTATTTCTTAAAAGTTTTTCATAACGGAGTAACTGAAATTTATCTTTATTGAATATTATATTGTTTTTGCTATCTGCTGGAAAACTTGATTTATATAAACCTGGAGATTTACAGTGTTCTCAATTGTTGACACTCGTGCAGGTTCTAGTGTCGTTTGGAAATGATATGAGGAAAGGGAAGGGAAGGGGGAGGGGAGGGGAGGGGAGTATTGTGGGGAGCAGAGCTTTTTACTAAGCCATCCTGTTTTAACTCTGTTTACTATTATTCTTTGCATTCTGTTGGTTAGTTAAAAATCCATCTGCGCACTTTTCCATTTATTCCTTTTGCACGCATTTTGTGCATAATTAAATCATGATCGCACTTGTTGCAGGTTTTTTCAAAGTCTGTGTAAACTACATCAGCATTCCGTTTGTCCTTCAGTATATCCAAGATAATCAAAGTGGTCCACTAATTATGAAAAGCAGGAGCGACCTGCCCTAAATCCATGCTGCTGTGGGTTGTGCATTTGTTGGGGATGAGAGTGGTTGGCGATCTTGCTTCTTTGAACCCTTTCAAAGATTTTTGATATGGGACGTTAATACTGTCTCTCTTGATTTTTTTTTTGTATTGGTTTACTGCCACCTTTCTGGAGTCGGACTATTTCCGTCGTTTTTAAGGACTGTCGGATGACCTCCATGTCTAGGCTCACCTCTAGAATATTTATGGTACGTGATAGAGGGTTCTTGTAGTTCTTGATGAACATGGAGTTCCACGAGTCTGGGCCTGGAGTAGACTGCAAGGGCAAGTTGTCAGTTGCTTTCAAAGTCCGGTGGTGTTAGGGTTATGTCAGAAATTTTGGACATACTGACAGTTTTGAGACTTGTGATGAATTCTTACAGATTGTCGACCTGTAGTCTGTTTGAGGGTTCACAGAGCAGTTATATTAAGACTTCAGTATTTCACTCGTTTCTTTGGTGTTATTAGTTTAAGTTCCATCTTGCTTGAGCAAGGGCCTGACACTGGATGTGGCTTTGGCCCTGGGTTTGCTATATGAGAAGAAATATTTTGAATTCCTTTAAATTTCACTAATTACTTTTAGCTCTCTCTCCTGGACTCGGATTCATTCAACTTGAGTTCACTATTTTCTGTTTCCCTGGCCAGTGCTTCCATACCCATTTTAGATAGTCAAACACCCACGAGGAACTCTGTGATTCTTTTCCTTTTCCTGTAGAGGGTTATCTCTGTTTCTAACTTCTCTTGTTTTTTTCCTTTGTGGAATGTACCTTGAGCATACTTCTAGTGCTGCAGAAGTGATCCTTTCTAGACACTGGCTCGGATCCATGTTATTAAAGATATCTGCCCAGCATTTTTTCGTTAAGGACACTATTAATTTGATCCTAGCTATTGGTCTCTGCCAAATATGCACAAATCTACGAAAATAGTCTGAACATAACGAGAAAAAGTTAGTGTTTGAGATCAATGAGAAATTTAAACTAGTCTATGATATATTTAGTAAGGTTTATAAGTTAGGTTTGGTCAAAATTATTTTTACATTTTCAAATGTAAAAGTCCAGTGCTTAGGCAGTTTGGCCTAATTGCTTATTAGGCGCGACATGTATATGTACCGTATTGCGCGGCTTATTAGACGCATTTTTTTTTCATGTCTCCAAAAATCACCCCGCGTCCTATAAACTGAAGGTCAGTGACAGGAGCTATAAGTTTGGGGTGTGGGGTGGGCTGTAGCTCTCCCAGTTACGTCCGATGCCGAGCCACTTAAACTAAAACAAGTCTTATAAGCCGCGAAATACGGTATTGTATTATACATTAAGTGGCCACTTTGTTAGGTACACCCTTCTGGTACTACATAGGGGGCCCCCCTTTGACCCCAGAACAACCTAAATTTTCTTGTTGCATGTATTGAACAAGATGCTGGAAACATTCCTTAGAAATCCTGCCCAGTTTTGGTGAGCCTCTGCCCACTGTAGACTTTCCTGTTCTTAGCTGACTGGAATGGACCCCGGTGTGATCTGCTACTGTAGCCCATCCACTCAAGTTTCGATGTGTTGTGTGTCCAGAGATGCTATTCTGCATACCTCTGTTGTAACAACATATACGTTACTGTCATCTTTCTGTCAGCTTCAACCAGTCTGGCCATTCTCTAACCTCTCATTATCAAGAAATTTTCGCCCACAGACCTGCCACTCGCTAGATGTTTTGTTTTTTCACACCATTCTCTGTAAACTCTAGAGACTGTTATCCGTAAAATTCCCAGGATAGCAGCAATTTTTGAGATATTAAAACAGCCCCATCTGGCACCAATATTCATTAAACGGCCAGTCACTAAGATCACATTTCTTCCCCATTGTCATGTTCAGTCTTAACAGTAGCTGAACTTCTCGACCACGCCTGCGTGGTTTTAGGCATTGAGGTGCTGCCTGGCGTACAGGTGTACGTAATAAGGTGCCCACTGATTTTGTGTGTGTGTGTGTGTGTGGTGCAATAATCACGGATAAGCGATAAGAGATGCAAAGGAATGGAGAACGGCCTAGGTAAATGTGTCTATGAAAGCGTCCTGCGAAGGAAGAGCAGGATGCCTTCATAAACACACCTGAGCTAGTCTCCATTATTTTCCACTGTTGTAAGCACTTGAAAAAGTGTTGTCTGCAACGTGAAAGGCTTAGTGCTATCACTCAACTTCCCCATGTGATTGGTTTGCGCACACACACACACACACACACACACACACACACACACACACACACACACACACATTATATATATATACACACACACTAAATGCTGTAAAGAGTTTTTATGAAGATAGTGATAAGGTTAGAGTATGTAGGAGAGAGGGGGAGACTTTCCAGTAACAGTAGGTCTTAGGATGATTGTTTAACATTTATACATGGGGTTATAAAGGAGGTAAATGCTAGGGTGTTGGGCAGAGGGGTGAGATTAAATCATGGGAAATCAAATAGAAAATGGGAGTTGACGCAGTTACTTATTGCTGATGATACTGTGCTTTTGGGAGATTCTGAAGGGAAGTTACTTAGGTTATTGGACGAGTTTGGGAGGGTGTGTAAAAGTAGAAAGTTTAAAGTGGCCATAGATAAGAGTAAGGTGATGAGAGTATCAAACGATTTAGGTAAAGAAAAATTGGAAATCAGATTGGAGTGAGTATGGAAGAAGTGAATGTGTTCTAACATTTGGGAGTAGACTTGTCGGCAGATGGGTCTATGAAGCACGAGGTAAACCATAGAACTGATGAAGGAAATAAGGTGAGTGGTACATTGAGGTGTCTGTGGAGACAAAAAACGTTATGCACGGAGGCAAAGAAGGGAATGTACGAGAGTATAGTTGTACCAACACTTACGAGTGTGAAACATGGGTTGTGAATGTTGCAGCAAGGAGGAAGCTGGAGGCAGTGGAGATGGTGTGTCGAAGGGCAATGTGTGGTGTAAATACACAAAGAATTCGTAGTGTGGAAATTAGGAAGTGTGGAGTTACTAAAAGTATTATTCAGAGGGGTGAGAAGGTGTATTTAAGGTGGTTTGGTCATTTAGAGTAGATCAAAATAAGATGACTTGGAGGGTGTGTAAATCTGTAGGGGAGGAGGGGTAGGGGTCGTCCCAGGAAACGATTTGGGAGGGAGTAAAAAGGTTTTGTGTGCAAGGGGCCAGGACATACAACAGGCATGTGTGAGCGTGTAAGATAGGAGTAAATGGAGAAGAGTGGTTTTTGGGACTTGAAGAGCTGTTGGAGTGTGATCAGAGTAATATTTTGTGAAGGGATTCAGGGAAACCGGTTAGCCGGACTTGAGTCCTGGAGGTAGGAAGTACAATGCCTGCACTAAAGGAGGGGGTTGGGATATTTGCTGTTTAGTGACGTCAAACTGTCATATCTGGACACCTCTGCAAAGACAGTGATGTGTGAATGATGGTGAAAGTTTTGAACGATGATGAAAATGATTCTTCTTTCTTTTGGGGTCACCCTGCCTCGGTGGGAGTCGGCCAGCGTGTTATATATATAAGTGAACCATACGTTGACATTATCGATAATACACAGGAATAAACTACTTTCAACAATATTCTAATTAGACTATTATTTTTTGTTCCTGTAGAGACCCTCATTAGGCGAGATTGTGTATAATGATCAGTAATGATTGCAGTGATCAATAATGGTAATAACTGTATTATCCCGCAGGTGGAATTGTCACTGCCGCTGTGGATGAGGCCCAGGAACAAGGGAGTGAGCAACGTACCTCCCATTGGCGTGGAGGCCATCTCTGGCAACCTGGGTGATGGTATTGATGATGGTCTCGAGGTGAGTGCACTCAGTGACTGCTAACCAGGCTCTTGCTCCCAGCAATTGGAGCAGTCTTCACTTTCCTTGGATCAGTCCTTTATACGACCCTTTAGAATTTAGGAAAACTCCCAAATTATTATTATTATTATTATTATTATTATTATTATTATTATTATTATTATTATTATTATAGTTCATTAAATATAGTTGGTCAGGTGTTTGTCTAATAATAACCTCTGAGGTAGGTTAGATACTACCATCCAGGTATGTATGGTAGGTATTGTGTGTGTGTGTATTGTAGGTTCACTACAATGCTCTTGCGTTATTCATGTATCTTCTGGTGTGGGTTCACTGAACCTGTGTTGTAGTGGTCATGTATAGCGGTGTAGGTTCACTGAACCTGTTGTAGTGGTCAGGTATCCTGGTGTAGTTTCACTAGGTACCTGTGTTGTAATGGACATACATCCTGGTGTAGGGTGTAGTGATAATGTATCTCGTGGTGCAGGTTTACTAGGTACCTGTGTTGTGATATTCATGTATCCTAGTGTAGGTTCACTAGGAACCTGTGTTGTAATGGTCATGTATCCTGGTGTAGGTTCACTTGGAACCTGTGTTGTAATGGTCATGTATCCTGGCGTACGTTCACTAGGTACCTGTGTTGTAATAGACATGTATCCTGGTGTAGGTTCACTAGGTACCTCTGTTGTAATGATCATGTATCCTGATGTAGGTTCACTATGAGGGTGAAGATGAGGGTCAGCCACTGGATGGTACCAGGTACGAGAAGACGTCAGGTACACTAGCAACACCTGACGACGTAGACCAGGATTATGATGCTGACTACTCTCCTCTCTTCAGTTTCAACCCCTTCTTTCCCTTCGGTAAGTTTTACTGCTTCAAGTGACATTTTTCAACCCATTCTGCTGTTTCGTTAAGTGTATTAATTTCTGAGCTTGTGTATGTGTTGCCAGCATTGTGTGTGCTGCCAGTATTGTGTGTTGCCAGTATTTTATTGTATGTTGCCAGTATTGTGTGTGTTGCCAGTATTGTGTGTTGCCAGTATTGTGTGTTGCCAGTATTGTGTGTGTTGCCAGTATTGTGTGTGTTGCCAGTATTGTGTGTGTTGCCAGTATTGTGTGTGTTGCCAGTATTGTGTGTGTTGCCAGTATTGTGTGTGTTGCCAGTATTGTGTGTGTTGCCAGTATTGTGTGTGTTGCCAGTATTGTGTGTGTTGCCAGTATTGTGTGTGGTGCCAGTATTGTGTGTGGTGCCAGTATTGTGTGTGGTGCCAGTATTGTGTGTATGTTGCCAGCATTGTGTGTTGCCAGTATTGTGTACTCGCCTATTTGTACTCACCTATTTGTGGTTGCAGGGGTCGATTCATAGCTCCTGGCCCCGCCTCTTCGCTGATTGCTACTAGGTCCTCTTTCTCCCTGCCCCATGAGCTTTATCATACCTCGCCTTAAAACTATGTATGGTTCCCGCCTCCACTACGTCACTTTCTAGGCTATTCCACGGCCTGACTACTCTGAAGAAATACTTCCTAACATCCCTTTGATTCATCCGAGTCTTCAACTTCCAATTGTGACCTCTTGTGTCTGTGTCCCCTCTCTGGAACATCCCGTCTTTGTCCACCTTGTCTATTCCGCGCTGTATTTTATATGTCGTTATCATGTCTCCCCTGACCCTCCTGTCCTCCAGTGTCGTCAGGCCGATTTCCCTCAACCTTTCTTCGTAGGACAATCCCCCTTAGCTCTGGGACTAGTCTTGTTGCAAACCTTTGCACTTTCTCTAATTTCTTGACGTTCTTGACTAGGTGTGGATTCCAAAATGGTGCTGGCATACTCCAGTATGGGCCTGAGTAAACGGTATACAGAGTCTTGAACGAATCCTTACTGAGGTATCGGAACGCTATCCGTAGGTTTGCCAGGCGCCCGTATGCTGCAGCAGTTATCTGATTGATGTGCGCCTCAGGAGATATGCTCGGTGTTATACTCACCCCCCAGATCTTTTTCCTTGAGTGAGGTTTGCAGTTTTTGGCCATCTAAACTATATTGTGTCTGCGGTCTTCTTTGCCCTTCCCCAATCTTCATGACTTTGCATTTGGCAGGGTTAAACTCAAGGAGCCAGTTGCTGGACCAGGCTTGTGCCTGTCCAGGTCTCTTTGTAGTCCTGCCTGATCCTCGTCCGATTTGATTTTTCTCATTAACTTCACATCATCTGCAAACAAGGACACTTCTGAGTCTATCCCTTCTGTTATGTCATTCACATATACCAAGAACAGCACAGGTCCTAGGACTGACCCCTATGGAACCCCGCTTGTCACAGGCGCCCACTCTGACACCTCGTCACGTACCATGACTCGTTGTTGCCTCCCTGTCAGGTATTCTCTGATCCACTGTAGTGCCTTTCCTGTAATGTGTGCCTGATCCTCTAGCTTTTGTAGTAACCTCTTGTGAGGAACTGTGTCGAAGGCCTTCTTGCAGTCTAGTGCGTTGCCAGTATTGTGTGTGTTGCAGTATTGTGTGTGTTGCCAGTATTGTGTGTGTTGCCAGTATTGTGTGTGTTGCCAGTATTGTGTGTGTTGCCAGTATTGTGTGTGTTGCCAGTATTGTGTGTTGCCAGTATTGTGTGTTGCCAGTATTGTGTGTTGCCAGTATTGTGTGTTGCCAGTATTGTGTGTTGCCAGTGTTGTGTGTGCTCATGAATGCTAATCATTGCACATCTGGTGATACAACCTTGGTCATACTTCATAATGTTTCTGTAACTGAGCAAAGCTGCTCCTGCTTGTGATACATCTCTTAGAAGTTTGTATATACGTGTGTGTCATGGCTATATTTCAAACACAACTTGTGACTTCTGATATTCTTGACTGTTGAGTGTTGCTTACAGGAAAAAATATTTACACTTGATGTAGTTTCAGTGCTGTTGTTGCATTATAATATTTGAAAGCTGATGAGTATCATGATCAGTAGTTACTTGTTCACTCCCTACATGGTATAAAGAGAACTTCTACATGGTATATTCTTATGCACTTATTACACAGCATATTGAGCACTGCTGTCTAGTATATTTTAGTTATTCATATATACGCACTGTATTTATCACTGCAGTGTGATATATTGTACTTAACATTGTTGCATTGTGTTGCATTACACTTGAGCACTGGAGAGCAACGTGTTGTCTTCCAGGTAACATGGGCAGACGTCCTCAGTTCAACATCTTCAACGGCATGAGAGGTCGACGAGTGTGGTGGAAAGGGTGAGTGTTATCGTTACCTCAGCCCTCACAACACTGATATATATATATATATATTATATATATATATATATATTATATATATATATATATATATATTTATATATATATATATATATATATATGCAATAAGATCACAGTAAACAGGTGATTTCAGAATATGCAAAACAACCACTCTGAAAGAATAGAGAAATTCCAAGCGCTTTCGTGACTACTCACATTATCAAGGAACTATGAAGTGTTGTTTTGCATATATATATATATATATATATATATATATATATATATTTATATATATTATATATTATATATATTATTTATATATATAAATCTTTATTTACTACAAGTACATATACAAGGTATACAGTCCTAGCTGACATCTATGACATACTACTGTATAGAAAGCCACTTGTTATGCTGAGCATTTCGGGCAAATTAGGTCAGTTTTGTCCCAGGATGTGACTCACACCAGTCTACTAACACCCAGGTACCCATTTTAAACTAATGGGTGAACAGGGACAGCAAGTGTCTTATGGAAACACGTCCCTAATGTTTTCCAACCGTGCCGAAGGAGATTCGAACCCCGGACTTCAGTGTGTGAGCTGAGTGCGCTAGCGATATATGTATGTATGTATATGCATGTATGTATATGTATGTATGTATGTTATGCAAATATCGCAAACCAAGCGATACAGGATGCAAAACCACGGGGGGCGTAGAATGATAGCTCTAGTCCTTTCGTGTTACAATCAGCACATCGTCAGGAGCTTGCAAAGTTGCAGAAAAAAAGGAGGATGTCCGATTTAATAAGATTCCATAGGATGTATTCACTAGAGAGAGAGAGAGAAGGGAACAGGAAATGCCCCCAGGCATACCAGTACACATAGCCAGAAACGTTGATTATTATTGCATTAGAAATAATCCTACAAGCGCTGATATTGTAATAACCTAAACTACAGTAACGTGTCAGTTATCAAAAGGAGTCGAACGCGATTTTCGAAAACATTAGAGCCTGTAATAACCCGGCAAACTGGCAGGAAGCAAAAGTCATCTTCCCTTGTTCCTCTTGACTTGAAAGGAATATTGTAGAATCGGCAATTATTATGCATGATAAGCCTTCATTATGCAATATCAGTAGAGGGTTGCTCAAATTAGATGAGCTTTTAGTTGAGGTAATAGTACACAGTCAAAAATGTGACTCTTATACGATTGCACTGGACTGTCTTAAATGTAGTGCCACACCGAGGAATTAGAACCTATTGTTCCTGCATTTTCTGAAGGTTGAACCAGAGTTTCTCAGAATCCCGTGGGATGAATAACTGTGGCCGTCTTGTAATTACAGATGCCTCTCTTTAAATGAGTTTATTTTAATGAGCCCCGTTTCCAGAGTATAACTTGTAGAAGTCTTCCCTTTAAACGGTCCCGTTTTCTCGTCTCTTTAAATGGTCCCGTTTTCTCGTCCCTTGAAATGGTCCCGTTTTCTCGTCCCTTGAAATGGTCCCGTTTTCTCGTCCCTTGAAATGGTCCCGTTTTCTCGTCCCTTGAAATGGTCCCGTTTTCTCGTCCCTTGAAATGGTCCCGTTTTCTCGTCCCTTGAAATGGTCCCGTTTTCTCGTCCCTTGAAATGGTCCCGTTTTCTCGTCCCTTGAAATGGTCCCGTTTTCTCGTCCCTTGAAATGGTCCCGTTTTCTCGTCCCTTGAAATGGTCCCGTTTTCTCGTCCCTTTAAATGGTCCCGTTTTCTCGTCCCTTTAAATGGTCCCGTTTTCTCGTCCCTTTAAATGGTCCCGTTTTCTCGTCCCTTTAAATGGTCCCGTTTTCTCGTGGATAGTTACTCCGTAATTGTTAGTGACTTCCATATCACTGGCAATATAGTCGTGTATGTAAAATTACTTGTATCATAGCGGAATCTGACGTAATTCTTGATAATTTCCACATTACTTTCGTTTAGGATACTGTTACAATATCAGCGCTTGTGGTTTTTTTTTTTTTAATGAGTGAGTGAGCCGGGCTGTGGCTCGTACGTTGGATTGCGTGCAGCCAGCAGTAACAGCCTGGTGGATCAGGCTCTGATCCACCATGAGGCCTGGTCACAGACCGGACCGCGGGGGCGTTGACCCCTGGAACTCTCTCCGGGTAAACTCCAGGTATAATAATATTCAACCTTCCTGGCTATGGTGCCACGTGACCTGATCACTGAAGCTCTCGCTTCACACGGGGAAGGTCTGCGTTTGATTCCCAGCGTGGGTAGAAACATTAGGCGTGTTTCTTGACACCGGTTGTCTGTTACCCCATCGGTAAAATGGTACCTAGGAGTTAGTCGACCGGTGTGGGTCGCATCCTGGGACAAGGACTTAATTTACCCGAAATGTTCTGCATAACAAGTGGCTTTCTATATAGTAGTATGTCATTGATGTCAGCTAGGACTGTATACCATGTACTTGTAGTAAATAAAATTATTATTTATTATTTATTATTATTATTATTATTATTATTATGGGTACTGGTATGCCTGGGGGCACTTCCTGTTCCTTCTCTCTCTCTCTCTCTCTCTCACACACACTCTCTCACACACTCTCTCACTCTCTCTCTCACTCTCTCTCTCACTCTCTCACTCCCGTGAATACCTCCTCTGGGATCGTATTAGCTCGGACATCCTCCTTTTTTCTGCAACTTTGGAAGCTCCTGATGGTGTTGATTGCAACACGAAAGGCCTAGAGCTATTATTCTATTTCCCTGTGGTTGTTTTGTATATATATATATATATATAATATATATTATATATATATATATATATATATATATATATATATATATATATATATATATATATAATAATAAACGGTTTTTAACAATTCATTCATTCTTACTCCGGGACTCGAACACGGGATTGTCAAATGACAGTTCGACCCACTGCACACGCCATCTTGTCGCCTAAAAGACTGCTTTCAAATCTGCTACCTGCTGTAGTTTTTTTAATTACGTGCATTCATTACTCTGATTCACAGAGAATAGCATGGGCCAGGAGCTAGTCACTGCCACCAGGCTTTATCATTATGGATTGCTGGCTACAAAAGCTTCAGTTTGATCACTGTTGGTGGTCCCTAAAAATTCCTAGCTACACCAGGCAGCAGGTTTGGCAGTCTTTCAGGGCGGGATGACCTGGTACAGTGCGCGTCGGATTGTCTGAGAGACAGAGAATCTCTGCTTATATACTACAGGAAAAATAATTGGCAAAAGTTTTTAGAGATCGAAGATTGAGACATTTATGCAACATATGGGAATCTTTATTCAGGAAACGTTTCGCCACACAGTGGCTTCTTCAGTCCAATACAAAGTAGAAGTTGTAAGGAGAGGAGGAGTTTGAGGTAATCAGTCCCTCAGCCTGGAGTCGATGTGTTCAGTCCATCAATCTTGTAGAATGTAGAGCATAGGGCCATAGACGTGGCTTATATACTGTAGTCAGGTGAGACGAAGCAGGAGGAGGCGGGGTCATAGTGGTACCATCCACTACTCAGGCAGAAGCTATATATGATGTAATAGAACTACCTTTTCAATTTGTTGTGAAAATAACCCATTATAGAAGAGTACTGTGGCTGGAGCCACAAGTCCATCTGTAAGTTAAGAGTAATAGACTACACCACAGAGTGAGTCTGGCATGTCGCCCACCATAGTGTAAGTTTATTCAGGTATACACAAATAGTTACATAGAATTATCATACATAGCAGCATATGTGTAGATTATTATTATTACAATCAAGGGGGAAGCGCTAAACCCGGAGGATTATACAGCGCCTGGGGGGGATGTGGAAGGCATTCAGGCTTAATTTGGGGAACTGGAGCACAGATCCAATTCCCTAAATCAAGAGCCCCTCACCAACATCAAGGAACCTTCCTTGAGGGGTCATATGTGTAGAGAACCTGGGATAACCCTAACATGTTAGACAGAGTGACTTATTTCCATTGGGGTCCTTTTACCTTATTATTATAACATAAAGGTTATAATATTTTATTATTTTATAATGAAGATAACATCTTATTATCATTAATTATTCATTACTAGGAATAAGGTAAAATTTACACGTATGTTAAAAAATACGTGTAAATTTTACCTTATTCCTAGTAATGACCCTCGTATTGTAGATAGTCTTTTTAGTATGATATAAGATGTTATCTTCATTATAAAATAATAAGAAAATATTATAATCTTTATAATAATAAGGTAAAAAGACCCCAATGGAAATAAGTCACTCTAACATGTTACACGACAAACTGTTGTTGGGACACCTAGTGCGATAAGGTTTATAATTAAAACTCTACAGTAATTGAAACGTTGTCAGGGTTCTGCAGTGTTTTTTTTGCCTAACTACGTCATAGTTCAAAAGATCTGTAACCCCTGAATCACGGACAAAACTCTTAACAAGTCTTAACATGTGATCCTCAACAAGAGACGGAGTGATTATTCCCAGATAACCCACTCTTAGTGAGGACTTTTTACAAGACTTTCTGGTTATCTTGCATCAATACCAAATCTCGGCTGAGCGATAAAATATAGACCAGAAGACATGTCAGAAAGAGGTAGTGGAAAGTTTTTAGTGGTAGCATTACTATTGTTCTTGGTCCTTTGGACCTACACTCTGCTACATTACACCCCCGTGGTCCACATTCTCCTTCACTCTTTCTACTTTCTCTCCCATTTACTTTAATATCATCTTTAACTTCTTTTGGTATTTACTACCTTTATCCAGTTCTAGTGCTGACATTGACCTTGCCACCTCATCCAGTTCTAGTGCTGACACTGACCTTGCCACCTCATCCAGTTCTAGTGCTGACACTGACCTTGCCACCTCATCCAGTTCTAGTGCTGACACTGACCTTGCCACCTCATCCAGTTCTCGTGCTGACACTGACCTTGCCACCTCATCCCATTATCGTGCTGACGTTGACCTGATTACACCTTTCACTCTTTCCGTCAATCTATCATTCATAGTATCTTTAACATGT